AAAAATGGTCACTTGTGCCAAAAAAATGGTCGTTTGTGCCAAAAAAAAGATCGTTTGTGCCATAAAAATGGTCTTCTGTGCCAAAAAATGGTCATTTGTGCCAAAAAAATGGTCACTTATGCCAAAAAAATGGTCGTTTGTGCCAAAAAAATGGCCATTTTGACCCCGTTACCGACAGACAGACAGACACAGGTGAATTTAGGTTTCTAGACCCTAGCCTTTCAGTCTAGGGAATAGGTGTTTTAATTAATTTTTCCCTAACCCCCTCTATTATGATCACCCCATTATACTGAACGCTTTCCGTCGGTTCCGACAGTGTTCACATTACGGAGGTTTTACTGTAAATAAGAAAGTCCATTACACGGTGTTAACGGTGACTCACATTCTGCCTACCCTCGATTCTCTATCTCTTTCTCTCTCTCTTCTTCGTTCTACTGTATTGTTATTGTTGTTTCCCCTTCTTTCTCTCTTGTTCTTCTCCTTCTCTCTATGGATGTATATATACCTAGTGATTTTAAGGACATTTTGAAGAGATTTAACATATGAAATAAATAAACAAAGTTAAGCTCGTCGAAGCGAGCTAACATTTTGGTGCCGTGACCGGTCTTCTTCTAATTACTCCATCGAAGAAGAACCAATTCGTCACATTTAATTCTGTACATCAGTACATTCAACAACAAGACAAACACTATTTGAAATTATGTACGGACGACAAGTTACTCTTCCATCTAATCGACAAAATGAAATTACTTCGCTCGCACAAGATCCAGAGCACAGTAAAACAATTAGAACATATTTTGGAAACTTGGTAAATGAAGCTCGGAACAATATCACGAAAAGTCAACAACAATATAAGGATCACTACGACTTGTACAGACAAGATCCAGTATTAAAAGTCAATTCTTTAACGTTAGTGAAAACAAGAAACATTCGGAACACATTTTATATAAGATATGAAGGTCTATTTAAAATCATTAAACGATCAGGAAGCAAAACATTTACTGTCCAACATGTTAAAAAATTAATATTAACAACACAAGTGACAATGGATGTTATCGTTCAATTGATGGAACGATGGAATTCAATTCAATTAACATATCCCGTAAGGGAAAGATGTGTATTAGATACAGAGATGAGCACAGGACAGGACGGTGCGGTCGTCCTGTGTCCTGTCCTGTCCTGCGCGGCAGGACAGGAGGGTACACCATTTTTCGTCCTGTCCTACCGCTCAACAGGACAGAGGTTGACTGCAGGACAGGACAGGACAGGAG